CTCGTTCAGCCGGTTAGTCGTGAAAAGATAACGAATAGAGAGACGGATAATAATAATAATAATAATAATAATCTCAGGACAATTCACACAGCGCCATATAAACCCAAGTTAAGCTAGCTAAAGCTTGTGTTATGGGTACTAGATAACTGATACTAATACATAGATATTTTTTTTTATAAATACATACATATTATATATAAAAAACACCTAGACCGATACATACAATCATATTCATAAATACATTTGTTTGCGCCGTGCGAGGAATCGAACCCGCGACCATCGGTCGTAAAGCGGTGTGTTAGACCGCTAGACCACCGAGGTCGTCGATGGATAGACAGGCTGACTGTGTAAAAGATGACCATTTGGATATCTTTTAAAATGATTAAAGAAAGAAATTAAACGAAGTATCTTTATTCTTTGAGTCTACTACAGACTCTTATGGTATATCAAATCTACTATCAGTTCGGAGTGACTTCAAGCTAAGAACTGACAACTCAATAAACTCAGGTCTTATTCTTTTAAAATGAGTTTGCAATTAAATTTAAAATAAGTTTGTTTGTTTGTTTCAATTAGGGAGAGATAACCATCGTTATCACAAACAATGTGGTACCTATGCTATTACGTTTTAGTCTAAAGTAATTAATCTACGCGTAAGCCAATATACACCTATAAACTAAAACTATTATAAAAAAATATGGCGCAATTACAACAAACACTCATACAGAATAATTTAGTTTTATACTATTTGTTATTCTGCTTCTTCATTGCACTATACCACTTTATATGGAGCAGTTTTATGCCATTAGTTTAAATATATATGTATATGATTCAGTAGTATTGGTTAGCTACAACCAAGAGGCCACTGAACTCCTACGGGGCATAATTAAACAAAATAAAATTATAAACAAATCATAATAAACTTAAAATCCGGTGACAATAATAGTCTTTTGATCACCCATCATCCTAATTATTACAAATAAGCATCCCTTTTACCCAAAATAACTCGGAAACTATTCGAGCATAAAATTTTAGTGCCGCTATAAAGGAGTATGCTTGTAGTTTATGGTTTTTATAATGTTAGTTGACACAAACAGTGGATGGCAGGATAAATATAAACTTTATCTACCAAATAATATAGAACCCATTTTTGAGTAGTAGTTTCTTTTCAACGGAGTCCATTGTAGAATTGTTATCCAATTTAAGAACGGTTTTGAAATGGTAACGATTAGTATGAACGTTGAGGTCTCATTAAAATGGTTTTTCAGCAAATTAGTTCCAAGAATTATTTAGTTTCAGCTCATTAACGACTTTTGAATGATTGATGAAGGCGTGGAATAGTTGGTTTTATTTTGTTTTTAAAGTGGAAATGGTTTAAACACGTATTCGACTTCATGTTATATTCATTTCATCATATTATTTGGTATATATACTCTGTACATACTAGGTATTACCAGTGACTTCCACTGCTTTTATTGATTTTAAAACGTAATTCATACCCGTGATATTAGAAACTAGCTTCACGGCAACTTTTATTAAAATCCGCGCAGCAGTTCAGGCATGCACAGGTAACAGATATACAGACATATTTTTCCGAAAGTACCTATATAATATTAATATGCACAGATAAATAAAAAAAATAAATAAAAAATAATAACCCAAGCCTATTTATTTAGATGTATTTGGATTCGGTTCGGTGATGGGAGCACCGTTAACAAATCAATAAAACTTTTAAAATAAAAGTAGCTTTAGTGACTCCTTAAGACTTTTGCTATCTGCGAGTGAAAGTCCCGTCAAAATCGGCCCAGCCGTTTCAGAGATTAGCAAGAACAAACAGACATTTTTTTATCGAGTTACCCATAAAAAATGTGGTAAAACTTTCAAATGCATTTAGTAAAAAGGTATTAATTTTACATTACAAACAGACACTTTAATTGTATTTATTTATATATAGCCATGGTTCGACAACACAGCTAACGTACAAAATACCGACATATGTAATGTTCATTAGTACATTATACCTCAATGGTTCAGGGCCCACTTTAGCCCTATTCATCTTTTTTTACAAAATTCATGCTCGCATTGTTAAATCTCTCATGCGCTTTAATTTTACGCTAGGTTTGAAAAGAAAACAATAAAAGAGGGATCATTACGAGATATTATCATATAAATTGAAAATGTTATTGTCACATAAAAGCTGTTGAGTCGACAGTTGTTATTTTTTTATTTATAGTTCCGTATAAATATTAGATGTAGAAAAAAGAATGTTTACCTCTGATTCTTTATTAGCCACAGAAAGGAACAGTATTTGTAAAAAAATACAGTCTACCTATACAAAAGTTTGTAAACCATTTCATGGGATGCCCCAAGTGAGAATATTGACAAACTAGCGGACTGCCGCGATTTCGCCTCGGTCCTCAGAACTGTGTTTTAGTATAAATAGGCTATTACTATACATATTATCATAATATATAACGAAGTCCTCCGACTTCGCCTGCTTTTTTAAGATAAAAAATACCAGTATATGTCCAACCTCGCGGTACAATCTATTTTGTATTATAATATCGACATTTACACACACCATAAGTTCACCATTTAGTAATGAAAAGTGAGTTTAGTGATGAAAAATGTTGATACGCAAAAGTGATACAAAATTTCGTATATGAATAAATAAATTTGTCCTTAATTTAAAAATAAAGATATAAAAATTGAGAAAGCTTCTCCACAGATGACCTTGTTCAAATTGTCCCGAATAGCTACGCGTTATGATTTGTGGGTACCGCTTTGACATTTGATTTCACTTGCGCGTCACATTGTCAAGGATTCCGTAATTTATTGTTATTTACGTCACTTATGCAATATGGGCATTACAAAAATATTTGCCCGCTGCGCCGTGTTTGCCGTTTGCTTGCCTCGTGCATCGTTTTTGGATGGTCTACTTCGCAGAATTTGGTATCGATATTCATTCTTTTTAAATAAAATGGATCGCTAAATATGTAGCTAAGCCTGAAAGTCGAGATGGCTGGATTTAGTCCAGTCATATTGCTAAATGAATAATTGTTTAAAAAAAATTCTTAATACTTATATTAGCAGTACGGACATATAATGTTATCATGTGACTTGTGCGGTACCGTTCAGATACTATGATGTTGTCTTTAAATTTGTAATTTCAATGCCTTCTTCTTGCCTATTTCTTCTTAGGTCTTCAACTGAAACACAGTTTGTAGAGTAAACTAATTCATCTATGAAATAGCTAGACAGAGGTATCCACACTGACTTTTTACATAATTTTTCTCGGGTTTTGTTTGATTCACTATAATATAGGGATATGGTTTAGCAAACATCTATTTAAAATAGCAACATACAAGTTTCTTGTTCATTCTTCTTGTCATGAATCTGCGTTTCGAATGAGTGGTAGAATCAAAATATTCAGAAGGATTCAGAAGTGCTTGTATTGATTTTACTTGAATTTTGCTTGTAATTAGTATTTTTGTATAGGTATTGTTAATACTGATACTCAGTTTTAATATCACATAGGTACAGCTATGATGCGCTCGTCATCCAACTGCGGCTGCGCGCCGTGCAATATTGTGAATCTGTGGCGCATTGCGTTTTGCGCCACAGATTCACAATATTTGAAGTGAAATTGAAATTAAAAAAGGCTGTGTTCTTGTTCTTTATTATTGAATGTTTTACACTATTATATATGACTAAATATGCATGTAATTTACTTCTAATTTAATATATACACAACAATCTGAATATATATACAGCTCCTACTAACGGGTATCGTTGTTTCGATGATAAATAAAGTAGCTATTTCTTCAAGAATTGTTCATTTAAAGTTTTAAATAGTATTTATTATATTATTGATTAATTAAAAATAGAATTTAATGATATGTAATATCTACAATAGCTGTAAAAAAGTTGAAATAAATTTTATAACATGTAATAAGTATCGGGATATCAAGCATTTAATATATTCATTACATATTTGTGACCTGCTTAAGAATATTAATATTACTGATAAGATAAATAAGACATTTTATAATCTGTGTACAATATTATTTATTATAACTTTAATAAGATAAAATTTTAAATATGATAAGCAACTGATGGATAATAAAATATAAAAGATAATAACAATATCAAGCATGAATATAAAAATTGAAAATGTGACTTCCACATTTATATTTATTTACGACTTGATGACCGGCGGAACTTTGTTTGCGTCACATCTTACCTGTTTTTGCCACTGATTTCATTGCTGCTCCACTCCTATTGATTGTAGCGTGATGTTATGTAATCTATAACCTAAATGGACTATCAAACAGTAATTTTTTTTCAATGTGAACCAGAAGTTCTTGAGATTACTGGGTCCAACACACCAAAATTTGAGATAAACTCTTTAAAAGGGATAGTCCGTAGATAAACACCAGCGTACAGAATAGTACTTTTGTTCAACAACTAATGTGCGTAATATTCTTGAGGTTGATATATTTTTTTAACGCATAATAGACTTTTAACTATAGGTACTAATGCAGATCCACCGTCTTGTTGAGTCTTATCTCAACAAGTCAGTGTTGTTACTGGTTTAGAGACATAATACTCGTAAATGGCAATAAAAGAGTTCACGGGCATCACATAATAACTGATATGCTATTCATATATATAATAATAATAATGAACTTATATTTTTTTCGTAAATACATAAATAGAAAACACCCCACGATACAAACAATCATTGACTATAAATGTTCGTGCCGTACGAGGAATCGAACCCGCGACCATCGGAAGTAAAGCGGCGTGCTAAGCCACTAAACTATCAAAGCCGTTTAATGTATAGGTAACTGTAGATACTATCAGATGGGCCGTCAAATACTGTAATTCTAGTTATTTAACCAAGAGATTAATCCGAATTTAATAATTTGGGATACAGTTAGCAATGATAATAACAAACAAGTGTAACCATACATTTTTATCACATAAATACAGTTAATCAATTAAAAGATCATTAAAGTTATTAGAAGACACACAACTGCTGCGACTGATCCATAGATGCTGACTGAAGACGAAGCCAATTCGTAATAACCCATTCGCTTCGTTACTCTGTCCATTTCAATCAAACAGTCCAGAATTTCTTCACTGTTGGGTATGATATGTGATGGTGGAAGTAGGAAACCGTACTGTCCAACGTCACGTAACTCAAATAGGTAGACTATGGGAATATTACCAACGCCTTTCATGAAGTCGAAGCTAGACCCGCTGACTGGATCTGTAATGAGAATGGTACGAATTGGCAATAGTGTAGTCTCATAAATAGGTTGGCTACCAATTTTTACCAAGGTATGCCTTGAAAAAATTATCTGTCTAAGCACATCTTACTCTGTTGTTTCTGTGGCCAAGTACATAAAATGCGCACAAACAATACTAATAATATACTAGAACTTCATCCGTACGTCGTGGAAAATCCACATATTCTCACTGAGCGGTTCGCGTCGTCTTTTTAAATACGTACTGCCAAAGAGTGCAATACGCCTGTACCTTACGAGTTTCCGGAGAAAAACCCTGTGAAATTCTTCAAATCTATCGTGACTAGAGTTCTTCTGGGTAAACGCGCTACTTTCTAGGTCTTCCCATCATTTTCCATCAAATGACGTAAGACCAAGCGCAAATCCATTTATAAAAAAATGTATTGCGCAAGAATTGAACCCGACCAAGAAAAGTAAGCTAAGGTTAGACCACCGAGAACGTAAAATAAAGTTAAAGGTTTAAGGATGAAGATATTTCTTTGATATTTTTTTAAACTCACATAAGATCTCAGCTGACACCCCCACAGTGTATTGAGTGCCGTGTCTCTCTTTCAGCTTCGCAGCTCCACGTACTGCTACTTCATACTGTCATGAAGAGAAAAAAACGTATAACATCTTAACTAACAAGCTGGTAAGTTCATTAATCAATTACTTAGCAAGACTTCGTTAGAGCATATACATTATATTTGGAATACACGATTATGAATTCATGAATTCATTCATGAATATTGATAGGTATGAATGAATGAACAAAGAACGAAAGAATGATATTAAATTTAAGGGATGCATTAACAGTAATAATAAAAACCCATGACAATTTATACAGCGCACTAAGCGTTCTGAACAGGACAACTTATAGAAGTAGCTGTAAAAGTAATCGTATCGTACTAGAATTAAACTTGGGACTATCGGAAGTACGCTGGTGTACTAAGTTGCTAACCCGAGGTGGCTATATGAATGAAATTAATATGAATAGATGTTTTAAAATGAAATTACAAAGGAATGAAAAATCAACCACTACATTTTATAGAATTAGGTGTTACTTAGCGGTAGTTCATATAATAACTAAATGTAATTTATATTATATAAATAAATTTATATTATATTGTTTAATTCTGCTGCTATTAGCATATGTGAGACCACAAATATTCAGTGTGGAATCTTGACCACCTCTACTGGAAGCGGTATGACCTTCCCTATCATCAATATATATATAGCGATCAATTTCCGATCGTTATTGGTCTATACTCATATTGCAACACACGTTTCGTCTCTGAGCGAGGTATCATCAGGCAATGAATTGAGTTCGGATATAGTTTATAAGCCTAATGTGAACTGTTCAGCGAATTATAATTTTGTCGATAATTAATTAATGGATGATTGAACGACGAATGAAGTATTGACATGAACGAACAAGTGAATGAGTGACTGAATATTTATTGCATTAATCTAGTTCATTACCAAATCTCCATAGTTGTCGGCCTCTAAAACCCCAATTCCCGAAACGTGACTGTATGGTACGAGGATCATCTGCGAAAAGGAGTGGAAAGCGAAGTAGTAGATCACTCTGCCGTGTCCATGGTGATCGATTCCGAGTACATAGTTTGCTAAAGCGCGAGATTCATATTCTGATGACGCTACAGGCCCAGCAAATGTTTGGCTGCAAGAATCATTAGACGCGCCGATAGCTAAAACATATAGATATTAATCTTATTTACAATAATATACAAACATTTTACACAACAGTATAATGTTAAAAAGAAGAAGCAATTACAAATAGTACTAATAGTATCTCAAGACAATTCACACAGAGCCACCTATTCCCAGGCTAAGCAGATCTTGCGTTATGGAAACCAGACAAATGATACAAGTACATTTTTTTGTAAATACATAATGTACATAGAAAACACACAGACCAATACAAACAATCATATTCATACAAATGTACCGTGCGAGGAATCGAACCTGTATCACTCGCAAAACTGAAAGTAAGGCGATGTGTTACCGTTAGACCACCTAGGCCACGTTTTCTTTACTTAGATTTATTGTTTTTTTTCCGTCCAGCATTTGGTGGTCCATGAATGGATAGAAATTTTGTTATGTGAGGGACCATTTACCAAAGGTTTAGAACCACTGAACTACACATATATACATATTTGGGTAGTAGGTAGTTATGGTACTTACTATTCCAAACAAAGTCGAAGTTTCTATTCAAATCAATTCCGTTACTGAGGTCATCGTTGTTTCCACAAGCCTTAAAATGTTCTGGGTTCCTGTTTTTCCTCCACATGCGATCCTATATTAATTTATAATAGTTTAGTCAATTATTAAATATACGCTTTCACAATTGCAATCGCAGAGGATATAGTCAGGAAAATTATGTACCATGGTTGAAGGTTGTTACTTTGAAAGTCGTAGATAAAAGATAACGGTATTACTACATATGCTAGTATGGGTCAGTATTTATACTCGGGTTGTTGACGTATATAGATTTAGGTAGGTATATTGAATTAAAAGGTAATTGCAGACAAAAAAGTATGGTAGTCTACAAAGACTTCTTCAGCAGACATATAATTTTTTTTATAGTCAGTCACATTGACTAAAAATACTTTGTATTTGTTACATTTTGACAAAAGACATATAGCTACTTTGTTAGCTTATAATATACACAGACCTGTTATAAGTAGTATAACGGGTACTTATCCTGACTGCACAGTTTTTAGTAGTTTTACTAATGTTTCTGTGCAAGAATCTTTAAACTTAAGTTACAGACAAAGAGAAAGCCACAACTAAATTTATTACATGAAAACATTCAAGACTTTCTTGGCAAAGAATTAGAGATAGAATTATTTATAAGTACATTTAATATTGACATTGTATGCCTCACAGAACATTAGTTAAAACAGTCCAATATGTTATTTCAATATATCAAATTTCAATTAGAGGGGGTTCAATTATTTTATTAAAAAATAACATTAAATGGAAAGAACGTAAAGATATTGTAGCACTTTCAAATGAATGCATTATAGAATTATCATGTGCAGAATTAGAGAAACACATAATTATAATTATGTTCTCCTGAATTTGAATTTGAGTCTTTTTTCCCGCGCAAACGTAATGCGCCACAGATACACAATACTGAATTGCACGCAGCCGCAGTAGGATGTCGCGTGCAGCATAGCTGTATGTGATGTTAATTCTAAGTATGACTTTTTTTAGTATTTTTTTAACCCTATAGCAAAGGCAGAGAGTCCTAGCCCATACAGCCGTTGTTTTCCGTATCATTTTTATATTCTAATTCTTTTTACTTTGTTCAGATATCTTGTACTGTAGAAATAATATATTCATTTATGACTAATAACACACATTAAAATGACAGCACCACTATTAATGTTAGATATTTCTCTACCTCCACAAAGAAAACAAATTATAAGTAGTTAGTTCGAGAACATGATTAAGTTCATAATTAAATGATATGTTGCAATAAATGAATTGGTAGCAACAAACAAAAATATCATCAAATAGTGGTTGAATGTGTTTAATGGCTGTGCCTGCGACTTCCATATGGTATTTGAACTAAGAGTAAGTTCTGTTGACTTTATCATTATTATGCAATTAACTTTATATCAGTTAGGATTATGATTTAATTTCTGATGATGAAGATACTACTTGTGTTTCCATCACCGGAAAGTAAATCAAAATTATAAATTGAAACAAAGTTAATTAGATTAAACCAGAAATTATTCAGAGAAACTGAGCTAGTAGCTCCTATATGCTATGCTATGTTGAACTCCATAATACACACAGAGAAATATACCTAAGTATGTTGAGTATAGTATTCACCATTATAGAGAGTTTACCCCATTCGAGATAACAATTATGAAGAATGTGAGTATTATAATTATAATAAAACAATTGTAAATAAGTAATAATACTTTTACGGAGGTCACACATACCTAGATAAATATTTAAGCAAATGTTATCATGGATTTGAATGATTACTAAATCGGTATCAGTCGTAGTTCTATAATATGATAAGATATATACAGAAGTATTATATTTCATAAACTATTTTAATTCTAATTTCTATTGTCCTAATAATAATTATACAAAAGTGCTAAAGACGTTTGTAAATGCTGCCAATTAGCATTTGTAGATAGCATTTTATAGATATAGGTGTTATTTTACGGAAGTCCATCTCACTACTTTATAGATTTATATTATTTGTAATTAGCATGTGTGATGTCACAAATATTTAGTGCGGAAACTTGACTACCGTTACGACCTTCTCTAATCACTATTAGAGAAGGATTGATCACTATCAACTTCCAACGGTAATCATCGATCGAATCATCTTTCACACAATCCATCCACATTTAATGAAAAAAGTGACAACTCCTAATTGTGAAGCTTCTTAAAGAAAGAAGAAGATCTTCTGTAGAAGATCTGCATCATATTTTGATGGAATGTGTTCGTAATGCATCTAAAAGAGAATATACCATCCAAGCTTTAAAGTTAAATAGGTTAGACCTAGGAGTATTTCATGAAATATTGGCAGAACCAGCTTCCGATGCAGCCAAGTTATTGTTCTGGATGGTATCATATTAGTTTAAGTATTTTAAGTTGATTTTTACTTTATTTTTGTTATTTAGTATAGGTACGATGGGATTGTCATCGTAACATTTGTGTACAAAAATCCTAAAAAAAATAAAGAGAAAAGAAACAAAAAAGCAATCCATCCATCTTGGTCGTCATATCATTTCCATCATACACGTTCATATTAAATACTTTATTTAAAACTAGCTACTCGCCCCCGTCCTGGTGTACATATATTATATATATAAACCTTCCTCTTGAATCATTCTTTCTGTTAAAAAATCCGTTGCGTAGTTTTAAAGATTTAAGCATATATACGGACGGACAGACAGCGACAGCAACTTTGTTTTATACTATGTAATGATATAGTCCTTGCTCCGACGCATACCATGTCCATAACAAGTTAATCTTATGGCATGTATGTAGTAACTAATATATGATTAGAAAGTAACATTGTTGGCAATAGTATTGGTAGTATTCCACGTGAGCAGCTCGATGTATTTCTCGAAGTACAACTAGATGCAAATTACCTAGTAAATATGAACATTAATGATACCGATAGCAGAAATGATGCCTCATTGGTCATGTTACATACATGTTACATATTAGGACGATGCTTCATTGTAAATGCCTGTTAATTAATTACTAATTAAAGTAAACAACATAGAAAAATAAACAAATTAATAAAATAGCAATCAAAGATACTACAATCGTGGAATTTTTGATGAGTGGATAAAGATAAAGCAACGAAATTTCAATGAACCTTTGGAATAAATTACCGCAGCAAATTTTTTTTATAGCAATAGATGATAATTTATTTGAAAATGCTTATATAGAATACTATGTTGCATATCGGGGATTGATCGTTTAGGACTTTCTAATCTAACTTGAGAAATAAAGGGATTAAATACAGACTTATTACATTACGATAAAAGTAACCTATATCTTTGACTAAGGTACAATCTATGTTTATACCAAAATCCATTTGTACTTAGTAACTAAAAGAAATACAAATAGACAAAGAAGAGTCACTTTCATACATATAATACGATAACGATTATGTAGATTACGGAAACTTCGGTACATCTTAGCATCCAAATAATTTATGAAACAGGTTATGGGCTCAATGCCTTCATATTTGACAGGTAGTAGTTTATCTCGCCATTAAGTTTTTAAGATGATTGATATCTATTACAACAAGGACAATAATAGATAGCTAACATTGATCTTGTAGTAGCTTCACAGATCCTTTATTTAATTCCAAAGAAGTAATGTAACTTAACAATAGTAATGGATTTAGACTTACCCCATTAAAAGTATACGCATAGCCATCAGGATTTAAAACTGGAATTATATGCCAAACGAAGGTTTCTGCTAGTAATTTAACTTGGGCATTCTGGCTTGTTAAGAATTCTTTAATAAGCCAAGTGACGGTGGCTGGAGAAATCCATTCTCTGGCGTGAATACCACCTTCGATTACTGCTACTAATGGCTGCGGTTCACGCAAACCAGCCTTCAAATCTATAATAACACCTTTTATGTCACGACCTTCATATGTTTCTCCAACAGTTACTGTTCTAACTATACCAGGATATAATTCCTCAAGTTCATCAAGCCACTTATAAATTTCTTCAAGCGTATGATAATCGTTCCATGAAAAAGATCCTAGTCTAGCTGACTTTGTATCTATTTCAGCCTTCATTTGAGCTTCAATCAATCTAAAATCACAAATAGTTGAGTCAATAAATTACTCACTGGGTTTTGAATGTGAAATGTTAAATCTAATAATGGATATGACATTTTTTAATATAAATGAGCCGTTAGATCATTTACTGTTCTAGTTACATACAAAAATATTATTTTTTCATACTTCTTCCACACAAATCATCAAATTTAGAAACATGAATACCAATAGTCTATACAATTCTAATATTAAGCACTAAAATTTGTGTTTGACTTTGTTACAAGATAACCGCAATACTGTTCAATGGTTACCATTTACCATCAAGTGGTCCATCTGTTTGTTTATCATTTCAATTACGCAAAATATTTACATCATTAGAAAAGTTAAAACAACTTACACCTGTATATTGCTTATGCTTAATTCAATTGCCATTCCCACACTTGTACTATATTCTACTAATTCCTCGGCCTGTTCTGGTGATACCATAATCCTTACATTGCTGTCAATATTAATAACATCCGTCCAGAAATCGTACTTTTCTTTTTTCAGATCAATAAGATATTGCACTTGTACTTCTGTTTTGGGTATCACATTGTACACTTTATAATTTTCATAGGATTTCGCTGCACTACTTATACAAAATATACCAACAAGTACCACTAGTATTTTGATATCCATTTCTGTTTTTACGTGTTCAATCAGCGATAAATTATAATTAAGTGAGCAAAAATAATGATTAGGAATTAAACGTAATTATCTTTCCATACTTTGGCGTGTGTATCGCGATAAAGCATTACGAACTCAACGGTAACGTATTAAGCTATTATGATTACATATGTTGTATTATTTATGACTATATCTTACATTGAATTTACAGGGTTACCATCACTAAAAACAGTTCAGATACGTATAAAGTAATGATAAATCTCATATAATCTTGTATATTAACCAGCTCAATTTGGTTCTCCAACTTGGTAGATCATTATATTTTTCGTACATAAAAATCTCGTACAAACTTGTATGAGACTGAAAATCTTCTCGTATTATATATGTTAAATGCTGCTATAAAATTAAATTGAACTTACAATTATCTCGGGTATACTGCCTGGACTGAAATATGAATTTATAAGTAGTAGTAGTGTTTGTGATTTGAACGCGTATACAAAAGTGAATCCTAGATGCCATCTTCTGACGGTAATATACAAAACAATTAAAGTGTTATTGACTTAAAGCGTTATTATTTATTTATTTAATTATTTAAAAATAATAGATGACATAGTATAGGCCAATAAATACTACTAAAGGGGTACCAACCCCTTTAGTAGTATTTATTTGCCTATTTATAAGCCTTGACACACAAATCGGCAATGAGGCATTTTCGCCTCGTGACGATTTTTCGATTGTACAGTATATATATATAAATAAATTATACATATATATATATATATATATTATTTGTGACATTCTGTGATACCCTTAACTTTAATCATTGCTTTTCGATCTCATCTCATACTTAGTGATCTAACAGTGATAACGAGAACAGAGAAGTAATAAAAAAACTAAATATAACTGTAATATTCTATTATGTGAGTTAATGATCATTTAAAATATTATTTGTTTTGGGTTTAGTAATTGAATGCACAGTATTAAGATTAATTAAACAGCGTTGCAGCGCTTTATATGCTGCAACAAACCCATTACGACGGCTTGAGTCGAGGATCACACCCCTTGTGGTACCCTCAGACTAAAATGATATCTGTCAAGTCGTCTTAATCCACAATCTGCTCCATAAGTACTTCCGTAGGTTTTATATGCCTTCTACAGTTGGTCCTATAATGTTCGATGATGCTGTGAAGGTTAGGTGCGGCCAACAGGATTACAATATTTCGAAAAACAAATAACTTACATACTAATAAATTACAGTCTGTAATATCTCGTTTAATTCCGTAATTTTTATATATATATTTATTATATATAAAAAATTAAGTATTCATAAAAGTATTGTTGTCTTTCTTAATCACTTAATCAATTATGCGTAAAAAAATATGTTTATTGTTTGTTATATTTTGCCGCATTCTTTAATAATGTATTCTATTTGAATAGACGATCTTCATGTTTAAACTATATATATATATATATATATATATAGTTCACCAAGTTTTACTTGCGTTTAGCGGGTTCGAATCTTGTACGATATGAAAATTTTGTATGCACTAGTACGATTTTTGTATCGATATAGGTGTCTTATATTATGTATTCATTTTACAAAAAAAACCTACTTGCGATTACAATTGAGATGGTATATTTATATCATTAAAAACATTACAACACATAAATAATTACATATAAGTTTATTTAAATAAAATAAAATTCTTCTTAACTTACAGTATATTTATTTTATGAAAATTCAACACTAATATGATTTTGAAGGTTTAGCGGTGTAGCTCACTGCATTATTTAATATAGTAGCGAGTACAATTCTTGCTTTAAACTTAAATTTGTATGTTTGTTTCTATTAGTCTGATTGTTCTATATATGTATCAAGTATGTTTTAAAAAACTATGTATACAATATTTCTATTCTATTAGTGGTTTAGTACAAGCATGCATATCAGGGTTGTAATATCGCGGGTTATTGCTATTATGGAACTTCGTATTACATATGTATTCATAATTGAAGTTGAACATTATTATTAAAGAATTATTAAAGATACAATAAGAATCAAAGCTATGTTAGCTCCAATAATAGAAGCAGATCCAACATGAAAGTTTAATATTCTCGCTGCAACTCTCTCCATTTCAAGTAAGAATTCCATAACTTCCTCGCTATTTGGTATAATTTGTTCAGGCGGTAGCAAAAATCCATATTGCGATGTGTCTCGCATTTCGAGCAATAATGATACAGGTACATTCACTGCATATTTTACCCAGTCGAAACTTGTACCGCTCATTTCATCTGTAACATTTAAATTATATTTTTTTATACTACAATGGTGGTAAACAAACATAGAGACGCCTGAAACACTAGGGGTGTCAAGTGCGAACGACCCTTTAGAACCCTTAATACCCTATCCTGTAGTCTCGTGAAAAACCCGACAGATGGTTTATCAACCACAATGTAATAGTACGCGGGATGAAGATCCTCTTTGAAATTACAATTATTACAATTAATTTATGATCTAAGATGTTACTAATATTATAAACGCGAAAGTTTGTGAGTATAGACCGATAGCTGGTACCCTACAACCGCAACATAACTTACAAAGCAAACTGCTTAGCGGTCAAAATATCACTTAAAGATTTTGTAGAAATAACTTACACATGACATCTGCAGAAACTCCAACTCTATAATTGGTGCCGTGCTTTTCTCTCAGTTTATCAGCACCTCTTATACCGATTTCATACTAAAACAAATAAGAAATGAAAGTGATAATATAAAATATAGAAAAAATAATAATTCTTGGCAATCCACGCAGTGCCATCTAGTCCCAAGGTAATCAGAGATTGTGTTATGGGTACTAGATAACTGAATACATAACATACGTATAAAACAGTCAAAACAATACAAACAAGTATACTCATAAATAGAAATGAGTTTGATTCGTTGTACGGTGCAATATAACGAATCAAACTCAACATGGTCTCTCCATGAGGGAAAGTGAGAATTTTCCTAGGCATATTATTTAGGCTTTATAAATTTAACTCTCTTTCTTTGTATAAATAAATTTTTGGAAATAAATATAGCATAACTTACTCCTTAAAAGAGTTGAACATTGCCCTGTGAGTGAAAGGTCCTTCAAAATCGGACCAGCTGTTTCAAGTGTTAGCAAGAACAAACAGATAGACAGACATAACTTTTAATTTCAAATTAACAGTTTTTACTTTATTTCTTTACTGTATGAATATGAAACTGTGTACGGTACTTACAAGTACCGTAGTGTTAATTTGAAATTACAAACCAATACTTAAATTTGATTTATTTATGTAACATATTATTTAGCAATTATAGTAGTAAATGTAGTAGTAGTAGTAGTATGTAGTAGTAGTAGTAGTATGTAAAGTATTTTTTCTTTCTTTCAATAATTATATGTTTCATTTAATTATTCTTCAAAAATGAATGTACTGGAAACTGTGATCTGAATATCTTAATAATATTATAAATGCGAAAGTTCGTGAATATGGACGTTTGTTACTCTTCCACGCAAAAATTACTGAACGGATTTTGATGAAACTTTACAGTAATTTAGCTTATGCATCAGAATAACACATAGGCTATATTTTTTATTGAAATTTAATGCGGGTGAAACCGCGGGCACAGGTAGTATATTAATAGATAAATAATTACCATATCTCCGTAATTGCATGCTGTTAGAACATCTGGGCCTCTTACGTGACTGTACGGAATCACAACAAGTTGGGAAAACGAATGGAATGCGATGTAGAAAAATAATTCTTTTTGCTCATTTAAAATTGAGACGTAGTCTGCAATGGCTCGAGATTCCGGTTCGGAGAATGGTTCTGGTCCAGCGAAGGTATTCGAGCAAGAGTCGTTTGAAGCGCCAGTAGCTGAAAAGTAATTTTTTTATACAAGTAGATCAATAAAAAATCTAAAGCCCATTTGATTATAACTGATTACAATCATCGAAACATACATGAACAGTACCATGGATGGATGGATATTCTCATAAAGCTAATACCTTATAATTTTGTTATTTGTTATATTTACTTTATAATTAACTAGCGATTACGATGTGACAAATCTTTAAATTTCTTGGCTTGTCGTATACTATAACACGCATATATTATACATATATATTTCCTCTTATATTAATCTATTTATTGCTCAAAACTGCATTAAAATCCGTTGCATAAACAAAGTCGCTGTCGCTGTCACCCATATCTATAAAAAGGTATAATAATAATCTCAGGACAATTCACACAGCGCCATCTAGACCCAAGTTAAGCTACTAAAGCTTGTGTTATGGGTACTAGATAACTGGTACATATATATAGATTTTTTTTTGTAAATACATACATATTATACATAGAAAACGCCCAGACCGATACAAACAATCATACTCATGAATACGAAAGTGCCGTGCGAGGATTCGAACCCGCGACCATCGGTCGTAAAGCGGTGTGCTAGACCGCTAAACCACAGAGGTCGTCGTTGAGGTGTGTTTTATTTTTCGAGTTCGAATCCAACACCACGACCCATCATCAGTCAATGCATAAGATAGAAGATGTCAATCCAGATTCACCTTGAAGAGATCATTATTTAAAATTTCTGTAAGAGTATTCAGCCAAACTTCTAACTGAAGAAATATTATCTGAGACTACATATGCATATTTATTACAATTTAATTTTACATATATTTTTATATTTTATTATGTATGTAATCAATAAGCTTTAATTTTTGTTTATTAATATAATTATATATGCATTTTATACGGGTATATTAGTATGTGTATATATATATATATATATATATATGTATTATTTTTATTTATTATATATTAATCATACGACGGGACTGGTAGAGAATGTCATCAGGCATTAAGTCCACCATGTATACATTTTTGTGTGCAAAAGAATAAATAAATAGGATACTTACACATCCAGACAAAGTCGAAGTTTCTGTTGAGGTCTACACCGTTACTCATATCGTCATTAGTACCTGGTGCACACGAAGTAAAGTTGGCAGTACTACGATTCTTTCTCCACATTCTATTCTAAAATATTAATAATCGATACTATAGTATTAAAAATACGATAATAATAATAATAATAATCATCATCATCTGTTTCTTCTTTATCCTATTTATTTGGGGTAGTGAGGGGTTTTAAATAAATAAGTTAGTGAAGACGTATTCCTAAATGAAAGCTAGTAATATATATTAATTAAAAGTATTGATATACTTTTAATTAATATGAGTTAATTAAAAGTTTTTTTTTTTATTTTATTTATAACTCTTTATTGCACCTTAAAAACAATACAAAAAAAAAACATTTATAATGTACAGAAAAAAAGAAATAAAGTATATTAATACTTAACAGTTGATATGGCAATAGAACTTAACTTTATATCTATTGTATTATTATTTTCAAAAGATGACACGTCATTACCATTATCACTTAATAGATAATTATTTTTTCATCCAGAAAAATACTATATGAATGTCTGTTTTTTTTTTTTACTTTTCAGGACTGAACGGCTCTATTATTCTTAATGAAATTTGAGGTATAGATTATATTATAATATCACCAGAGCAATTTACAGAGCGCTAACTATATAATTCAAGCGAAGTAGAACTTATGTTTTATGTAATAGAACTATAAACAGTCATATTTACTCATAAATAAATGTTTGTACCGTGCTAGGAATCGAAACCGCGAGCATCGGAAGACGATATACTAAACCGCATGGCTACCGAAGTCGTCATTATCAATACTATATTATATATATGTATATAAGGAGCATCATGCAAGTTTCTTGTTCTTTATTGTTACGAGAGAGTTCCCAATAAGCGATAGATAATAAAATTAGTAATGATTATTCAAAAGCAAATAAAATTAATTCATTAAATGTAAGTTTATTTGAATAAAGATTTTTTTATTCTATCTTTTATTTTATAAATGATAGATAGCCGTCGTGTAAAAATAACTAATATGAAATAATATTACTTACATCGGTAAATGTATATGAGTAACCATCGGGATTCACCACAGGGAATATGTGCCACTCATAGCGTTCTGCTAGATACCTGATGTCAGGATTGGTACTCGTCAAGAACTCCTTAATAATCCACGTTAAAGTAGCTGCACTGATCCATTCCCTAGCGTGTAGAGTGCCTTCTAACATGGCTCTGGTAGACCGATGACCATAGTTAATTTTTACACCTTTGATTTCTCTATTCTCAACCGATGTCCCCATTGAAATTATAGTTACTATCTCAGGATAGTGATAGGCCAATCGATCAAACCAAGCGTAAATTTCTTCAAGTGTATGGTAGTGGTCCCAATCGAATGAGAGGAATGATGAGGATTCTGTGCTCCTTTTTATAGGATTCAGCTGTTCATCTATCACTCTGTAAATTATTAAATTAATTAAATCTTTACATGAATAAATGATCCTTCTTAATATTTACTTAGAACAACTATTTAAATCAACATGCGGGTTTCTTAATCATTCTTGTGTTGATTCAGTGTTTCGAATGACTTGTAGAAAAAGAAATTACTATTCGAACTGTTTCTATTAAGTTTATTCATATTTCTATTTATAACTAGCTGTACCCGCGACTTCGTACGCGTGGAATTTAACAAAAAAGTTAATTAGAGATTTTTTCTCTAATAAAAGTAGCCTAAATTACTCTTTATTACATCAGCTACAACCTAACAAAAGTCCCATCAAAATTGGTCCAGCCAGTTTAGAGATTAGCCAAAACAAACAGACTGACAGACAGACAGACAAAAATTGTAAAACAAGTTATTTTTGGTGTATGTACCGTATTTACATTCATATGTATGTAGTAAAAAACGATTATTTCAGTATTACAAACAGAGTCTCCAATTTTATTTATATGTATAGATAACATGTTAAATTGTATTATCAGCTAGCTAAAAGCCCGTCATTTCGTAACCTATTTTCCTTATGTATTCCTATATTCTTTAAGGTAAAGCTTATCACAACACGTCAGTAAAAACAATCATTGTTTAGTATAATTCATTAAGTTCCTCATTAAGTTGTCAAACATTTTTCACTACTTAGCGGGAATTCACAAAACGCTATGACAAATTGATAGATTTGCAGCGTTGCCACAATTTTGCAAATATATACCGTACTGGTGACGATCAGGTATACCAACATTGCGGGAAAAAAGGTAAGTTATCATAAAGCATTCTTCATATCCACGCTGTGTGTTTTTAGACAAACACATAATATATTTCCTTTCATATACAATATCAAATAATTAAATATTTTATTGTAACCGCTGATTTAAAACGGCGAGCACAATAGATCTCGTTAGGTATGCACAACACCTAGACATAAGGAAAACTTCTTAATGAAAAACACACTAATCACATTTTAAAAGTTATAATTCCAAAAAATATATCATTGAAATTTGACATAACCTAATTTAGGAACCCATAATTTATAAACAACTTAAACTAATCAACTTTTACACAACCAACCTAGGAACTAAAATAACTGAAACCGGATTAAAATAGTAAAAAAACAATATACGGTATATATCCATTTATAACTTATTATATTAATAATGACATGTACAATTCTGTTATCTATGCTAATGAGTAAGCAAAAGACGCATGCTATATAATGATTCAAAATTTCAAGATCTTTTACAATATTAAAATACTTTATTTTAAAAAATCTTAAATCGGACATGAAATAAACATAGTATTTTTTATATCCTAATTAAGTACTTAATGGATTATATTATATTGTTTAGTTCCTCTACAATTAGCATGTGTGAGATCACAAATGTCCTGTGCGGCCTTGACTTGATAAATAAAAATAAACTTTTACATCGAGAAAATAAAATGGTTCAAATTGTAAAACTACGTCACTAAAAGTAACTATGAGAATGAGATAATGCGAGCGTCATGGTCTAGTAGTTTGCTACCCTAAATTGCGCCCAAAGGGCTGTGAGTTCAAGTCATATCGACACCAAAAATGAAATTGTGATTCAATAATCCGAAAACGGTAGAGTTGTTTCCGGTCACTTTGAATTCAAAATATAAGCACGTCAAGTGTTGTAATACCACATCGACAGCTTCTGACTACCTTAATGGGATAATAGTCGTGTCTATATATGTAAAAAGTAAATATTTGACACTTACCTCTGTATGTCATCTAACAACACTTCAGATTTCATATTTATGTTATTCGTGATCTCCTGAAACGCAGCCTCTTTCTCAGAACGCACCATCATCCTGGATTCATGATTGACAACGATATTATCATCCCAAAACTCAGCAATACCATTTCCTCTAAGAGCAACTAAACTTTCTACTTGTTCTGCCGTTTCTGGGATCGTCTTATATAATTTATATCCTTCATAACTCTTCTTTTCTGCGACCGTTAATGCTAAGTTTAGTATAAATATATAAAATAACTTCGAATACATTTTGCTATGTTAATGTGACATTCGTCGTTTCAACGCGATACCGTCAGTATTGATAATAATATACGGTAATTGGTTGATATACTAACTAACTATTTGATAAATTTAATCTCTAAGACTATAAGCGATAAGGACTAATACTAGATAATAAAGAGAGACCGGCTGTGTTCTCTATTCATATAAAAAATTTCAAAGCAAATCATATTTCTATACATTTATTATATTAGTATAGAAATTATAGTAATATAATAAAAAAGAATTATTTTTTTGTATGTTTAATTGTAATGGTCAAAAATATTCAAAGTTAATATATATTTTTGTTAATTTAGAACACCTGTTACCACTAGTAGTAAGTGGTACTTATGAAGGTCAATATTTCTTAACACTATCCCATATATATGTTCACATAGGCTAGCTTCAATAGAGAAGAACTGGCAAGAAATTGAATAGGTGCATTTTTTAGATTATTTTTTGTTCGATCGACTCTGAAAAATTGTGAATAAATAGAAATTATCTGTATTTTTTTTTATTCCATATTAAATACAGGCAGCGCCTTTTTTTTACTCCAATGCTGTTAGCCACAGCTGGCCTTTACAGCTTCACTGGATGATAGGGGGCGAGTGCAGATGACACTCCCGTCTGGCGGATATGATAAGCAGTGCCACGTTACAACTAGTACTGAATAGAACTGTAGAAGTGTTTTGAAAAACACATACATGTTCATTCTCCCCTTGATAAAAAATAATGTACCTAAATTGACCTATGTATGTAGAAGATTGTCTGTACGGTTATAACAGAAGGAGGCGGACAGTCAGGTAGTCTTCCGGAATTTCAACGCTTGAGTGGTATCACAAGCGTTTCATGATATCCTGATATTCGTGGTGCTCTTCATACATATGGGTAACGGTTACCATCTACCATCATATGTACGTCTGTTTGTTTCTCATTCCGGTTACTAAAACAATTTAATAATATATCAAACAAAATTAAAATTTGACGGCCTCAGTGGTGTAGCGGTTAGCACACCGCTGTATATCTGACGGTCGCGGGTTCGATTTTTCTCATGGTGCAAACATTTGTATACATGAGTATGATTATTTACATCGATTTGGGTGTTTTTTTATGTTTACATTATGTATGTATTAAACATCTCAAGTCAAAAAACAATCACATACTACTCACAAATCTATTTATTTATGTCAATTGTCTAGTACGCATAACACAAGCTCTGTTTACCATGGGACTAGATAGAACTAGAATAAATAGATAGAATAAAAGATAGAATAAATAAATAGAATAGACTAGCGTTGTGTTAATTGTCCAGAGTTTTTTTTTTTATTATTATTAATAGTTTCAGGATTTTTTATTACTCATTATGACTATAACAGACAGATAAATAAGCTAGTCATAGAATTATTTGAATAAATTATCGTAATCGTAATTACGATACCTACCTACTCAATATTTTTATCTACACTGAAGATAAAATTATCATTAACAAATAGATGGTCAAATTATCAACAAACAGATTGAATCACCATAGTTTACGAAAGCAAAACCTATATTTCACATTATTATATACATTTGTAATGCTACATTTTTTTAAGTAAATGACTTATCATCACTATCTACTTACATAAATTTTTACACAAAGTTCTAGCTTAACTTTAAAAAATCGGTAAAGCCGTTTAGTAGGAATTTAGTAACAAACACCGCGACATGGGAATATATATCTATACATATAAATAAAATTAGAGTGTTTGTAATATTGAAATAACCGTTACATGCATATATTTCAAAATAACATTTTTTACAATTTTTGTGTTGTTTGTTCCGGCTAATCTCTGAAGTGGCTGGACTGATTTTGACGGGACTTTTTTTGGCAGGTAGCTGATGTGATAAGGAGTAACTTAAGCTACTTTTATTTTAGAAAAAATATTTTATTACAGAAAAATAAAGATAAATTCCACGAGGACGAAGTCGTGGGTACAGCTAGTCTTGAGTATGATAGATACTGTAGACTGCATTTGGAAATTGTTTTGTTTCCATCTTTGTGTTCTCTGAGTATTTGAACATTCTTTAGATGTCAGATTAGTAAACAAAATCGTAATGTAATTAAAATCAGTTATTGTTAAAATGGACGCAATACTTTATTGTCAAGAACAAAAAAATAAGTACGTATACATACGTACTTTTTTTTTTTATTATAATCTTAAGAATAAAAATCAAAAACTCAGAGAACACAAGAATGGAAACAAAATAATTTCCAAATTCAGTTTACAGTATCTATCATACTCAACACTAGGCAACTAATAAATTTCACAATTCATATATAGGAATAATTATATGCATATATATATATTTTACTTAATCTTGGTAAATTATTAAGTAATATTCATCCAATTTGGCCAAATGAATAATTTTATGGTAAATAAAGGTATTTACTTATTTTGACGTTTTGACTGGGTTAACTCCAGTCAGCTCGGTACCACGGCTAGTGTAATCTAGTCAAAACGTCAAGAGAGGTAAATATCTTTATTTACTATAAAATTATTCCTGTATTAAATGCGAAAGTTTATAAATAATAATAATAATCTCAGGACAATTCACACAGCGCCATCTAGTACCAAGTTAAGCAAGCTGAAACTTGTGTTATGGGTACTAGATAACTGATACAAGTATATAGATTTTTTTTTCGTCTATAAATACATATTATACATAGAAATCACCCAGACCGTTACAAACTATCATACTCATGAATACAAATGTTTGTACCGTGCGAGGAATCGAACCCGCGACCATCGGACGTAAAGCGGTGTGCTAGACCGCTAGACCACCGAGGTCGTAAACACATCATAAATAAGTATTGCACATTGGATGAACTACAATAGATTAGTTCTTTAGTATATATTAAGGAAAAATACTCACTTTTTTTACTTTCTTAATTTGATTCTGTGTTTATTATAGATAAGAATAATTAGTGTATTTCATACGATATCCACGACTGCAATAGTTCAGAATTCTTCGACTTTACGTAACATCTCAGTCGGATAAAACATAAATCGATAATTTCCGAAACCACTTTAAAATATAAACTATTAAACAGCAGTCAAAGTCCATTTTATTTCGAAACGTAATATCCGACAGCAAAAATATAAATTACAAAGTTGTCGAACGAATATATCAACTCGGCTTTTATGCTATTTTCTTACGTAAATCTATCGGCTATAAGAATGATATTCGTTTATCCTAGATTGTGATATTTCACGGAATACCATGATCGGACTCTTGGTTGATGTTAAGCGTCTTCCTGAACCATTCCATGTTCGGCTGTGATTTTGTACCAATTTTATGTAATAGGGTTGCTTAATACCACCCGTCTAAGTGTATATATTACTAATGTCTGTGTGTTGGAGGGAAATGGATTGTTAGTAACGGGTTGTTGACCTCCACGCGGTCCCCCGTGAAAAACATCGCGGTTAATTCCTGGTAATTTAATCACGATGAGCAAACTGACCTGACCTCATGTTCATTTGATCATCCTCCACTGGTGTCCCGCTAGCGTAAACCGTGAGCGCAGGAGGGTGCACCATTCCATTATCATCTATAAAAAATTCTGTGTTTATTAGATTTTAAAGATAAATGGCATAATTTCTACAAAGTTATCTCCCAGTGATGATACGAGAATAAGAGAAATTTCTCTATTTATTTTCATTCTCTTGTATATATTTATACCTAGGTAGACTTTATAAAAAGTTGACCGGGTCTTCCTCATTTTAGCAGCGACTCAGTTTAAAATTACAAGATAAGAGATATGAAACCTGATCTTTTGGAATGACAACGCATAAGCGGTATCAAGTGCTTCACATGATAACGTGATAACCTATGTAACACGTTATCATGTTACGTAGGTCATCACGTTATATAGGAGATGGTCGTCGTCTATTATTAGGTGGGTCTTTAAATTGTTTATAATTTTGTTTACATAAAAGAAAAAAGTCGAAATAACCTGTTACGGATTAATAAATTTATATATCACCAATGTAAAACAAAGTCCAATATAATAAGTCATTTAAACGAAACAAAAATATCATTACGATATCAATCCAATAATATTGGGGGTAAGGGGATTGTTAGTAATGTGGATTATTAACCCCATTCTAGCATTTCAAATTCTAGCAATCTACCATGTTAGGTTGACCTCCACGTGGTTCCCCCTGGAAACCAGCTTAATAAATGCATACTGAATATACCACGATGGGCTAACTAACCTGACCTCATGCTCATCTTATCATCCTCCACTGGTGCCCCGCCAGTGGAAACTGTAAGCGCTGGCGGTTGCACCATTCCATTATCATCCATAACCAAATAATATTATCAATTAATCGCATTTATTGCATGTAAAGACCCTAACACAATTGCGCACAGCCTGGGTGGGTCAGAGCGGCACAATTATATTTATCGCGGTGTGCCGGCGTGTCGTCCGTCCACGCATAAATCAGCTCACGTGCGCCTGTCGCGGGCCTCGATACGTCGCCGATCCGGTCAGTGCTGTGGGAACGGTCCTTTAGATTTTCTGATACGGTCGATTCCGTACCGACAGGTTCCGTAGTATGAGACATTCTATGAGACAAATCATGTTAATATTACAATTTATCAACATCTTATTAATAATTAAGCGCGAAAGTTTGTGAGTATGGATTTACGTTTGTTACTCTTTCACGAAAAACTAATGAACGGATTTTGATGAAACTTTACTCTAATACATCAAAATAACATATAGACTATAAGTTTCACGTTGTTGAACCACGGACATAGCTAATATTTTATAACAATAATCTTTATTTGTCTCATATAATAAACTATTCCAATTGCTTCTTATAATAAACTTTACAGATATTAATCGAGGCAAAATGGTTTCTAACTCAGAGGCAATAGTGAGTCCACCCTCTCTGCTATTCCGTTATAGCCTTTATTACTAAATAAATACCAAATCAACGACGACTATCATTTAAATTCAAAACTGATCTCTA